ATGATACACCGCTATTGTATCGTTCAGTGTCAATAATATAATGATATATGTAAGTTTCTCTTTACATAAAACGTCATGATGACAATATATTCATGTCATATAAGTTGCTCTCGTGCATCATACTCATTATAATTGGAAAATCCAAAACAAATTTAGATTAATTGGTTCATGTTTTCGAAACATCAGTTGATGACGTAAAAGAACCGAAAGCTAGCTTAACTAACACCAATATATTCGGGAACAGAAGTGATTGAAAGAGATCATATAAGATGAAAGAACCAAAACCAAAGAGCTGAAAGAACACTAGTAACCATGGTTTTATAGATTTGACAGTATCTTGTTGCTTGTCTACCGATAAATTAGATGCTAATTAATCAGATTAAGACATATTAATGTTCTTGTTCAATGTTCGGTGGGGGAGTATGTAACTGTGTTTAACCTTACTGTCTGTGTTTAACCTTACTGTCAAATGATGTGACATTGTCTGCACTCATTTTCCCATAATATCTTACCAAAAATATCCTCAACGGTTGGGAAGTTGTTGAGGGTGTGAACGTCGAAGTTCTGAACCATATTATGAATGTGTTAATCCAGCAAAAGGTGTTTTAGGGTTTAGGGTTTACGTTCATCGGAACTGGGCTGGTTTCTTGATCGATTGCTGAAGCCCTTCTTGTATCTGATCTTAACCCAACTAACACAAGCATTAGGGCCTTAGGTTATTAGCTGGAATCACTGAAGTGGAGCAATAGTGGCCAATATTAGGAGAAATCAAATTATATTGTCCATCTTGCGGATTACCTCACTCTTACAACCAATATACAAAACCAACTGATCCATTTACCCATGCACTCCAGCCATCACCCACCCCCTCCGCCCGTCTTGTCCAGACAGCCACATGGTGCGAGCATGCGGACCAAAGACTTAATCCACCAAATAGTTCATAACTTTAACCACATCAATATGTCTAGTGGTAAGGACGCGGACTACGGCTTCCTAATAAACAAAAAAATGTGGAAGGTTCCGGGTTCGATGCTCCGAGCTGGTGAGTCTGCTTGACTGTGGCCACGGGCAAGGTGAAATTCCCCACAGCCTCTCTGAGCTCGGAAAGAGTGAATAACCGTGATTTGCCACCAGTTGTCCTCCTTTTTCATGATTTTTCTTTTAGTAATCATTGATTTTTCTTTCAGATTATGTTCAAAATCAATTACAAAAGGATGAAACACAATACTTTGGACTATTGACTTAACTCATATGTCATACCTGTCTTGTAGTTCTCTAACAGTTGACCAATCACGTAGGTCTTTGTTCCTTCTCTTATTGGAGGCAGATTGTCTGCCTTTTTTTTCCCATACCCTTCCCTTACCACATCAATATTTTATATTCATATTACTTTTTGTTTTATTATCTCTATTAAAAAATTAATATAAAATATTAATGTGACTTAACCGTGACCGCACAAATAGAAAGAAATGAAAAGGACATAGGAAAGGGAGGGCAGACAATACGCCTCCTTCCTTATTTCCTAGCAAAGCTTTCCCATACCTTTTAGGAAAACTAACCAAAAGTCCATTCATTTTTAATGAAAAACCCTTTTTAAAGGTATAGCGAATAGTACCATAAAAATGTATAAATGTGATTTTTCGTTAAAAATGAACAGTACTACGAGTGTTTTATTAAAACTCCCTTTAAAATTCTGTTTCTCTTTACTCCTCCACAGTTCCACTCTTTGTTTAATTAATTAATTAATTGGCGATTAACTATAATTAAACTCCTTTACCAGCCGTATTCCCTCCCTCCACCCCTGTATCTCTGGCACACAGAAAACTTGAGATTTTCCATCACCATTTTCTCCACTCCTTTTTCCTGAAATTCTGGTGGATTCCCAGCACTTCACCCAAATAGCAACCAACACTTTTTATTTGGCTCCAACTCACCAACATCACACTTAATCTCTCACAATTTTAAGCCCCAAAACCCGAAAATTAAAACCCATTAAAAAGTCAGAAGCCAAAAAGTCCAAAACTTTCCAGGGAAAATTTCCCGCACAAACCCAGATTCCGCCTCCGGTGCTCCATCACCATCCTCTTCTTCTTCGTCAGAACCCATCTTCCAACTCCAACCGCCGCGTCCTTCCCAGCCTCCCTGCCTGGGAAAACGTCGTCGTCCAGTCCGAAAAACCCCTTGCCAACTCTACCACCGGCGCCGCCACGCTGATCTCCTCCGCCGCAATGGGATCTTTGTGCTGGACGCCAACATAAACGACTACGAGAAACTCGCAAAACTTTTCCGGTCGCTGTCGTCCACCTGGCTGCGCAGGTCGGCATTCCGAAACACAGCCTCGTACGTCCACAGCAACATCACCGGATTCGTGAAGGGTTTTTTGGCAGCGGCGGTCACAGCAGAGGATCGCCGGTACCGGGGGAAGGTGGCGAGGCTGGCGCAGCTTAGGGTTTTCAAACTCAGAAAAACGTTGTCAGTGCCGGTTAATGGGGTTGTGGGGATTTTGGAGAGGTTGCTTGGGGTGAAGGCAACGAAGGTTGTGGCGCCGATGTCGAGAAATGCGGACGCTTTGTTTACTCTTGGCAAGGAGGAGCTAGACAAGAGTGCTTGATTAATCAGATGTTCGAAGATTAGGTGTCTACTACAAAACTAAATCATCCAAAACTCCAAATAAGTACCGTTTATAAGTTCATTTGAAATATGTAATCAGGTAAATTATGCAGAGCTTATCATAATCTTGCTTCTTGGTAACGAGAACGAAGCGTGTCTTGATAATCTTGCTTCGTTCTCGTGACCAGAAAACAAGACTTAGATTATACAAATGAATAGACAAAGGAGGAACACAATGACAACCATTTGAAACGCATTCGAACAGAATGAAGCAAAATTTAGAAACAATTAGCATAAACACCAACCAAATTCAATTGAAGATTTCAATCTCTTAATTCTCTACAACGCGTAACTGACATAAACATATAAATCGAAGGAAACAAAGCTTAAGCGTCTTGCAAAAAGCACTTCTATTAAATGATGAAATAGGCTCAGGCGTGCATATCCATACCAAAATCTCAGCTCAAGAAATTGCAAACACTACAAAGTCTTTAAAACAAAAATTAAAATAGAACAGACAAGCTCATTATCCAAATAACTAGGAAAGCTACTCTGAAACGGGTAGACAGTTTAAGAGTCGGCGATTGTAACCTCCACCTCGACACCAGGTTCAATTGTGATGGAAGTAATTTGCTTGACAACATCAGGTGAGCTGAACAGGTCGATAACCCTCTTGTGGACACGCAACTCAAATCTATCCCATGTGTTGGTACCTGAACATCACAAACCATAATTTGAAGTTAAATAAGCTGAAAAATGCAAATGAAAACAATTATACTTCAACAATGCAGAATCTGTAACGACATTATTCAACGAGCCATGAGCTAACTTCAAATACAAATTTCAGACAGCAACATACCTTCACCACAAGGAGACTTCCTGGTGGTAATGTTCAGAACCTTGGTAGGCATCCTCACGGGTCCCTTCACCCTCAGGCGCTTGTCCTTGGCACCACGAACCAGATCAGTGCAAACTGTAAGCAAAATAGATGTCAAACCAACAGTCTAATAGGATACTCGGTATGCATATCCAAATTCTTAATAGTCTAAACAAGCTTCAAACAGAAAAAATGGATAAACCCATTTCAACGGCGTCACACAAATTGAATTTCTTCTATACAATTATGCTCAGAAAACCCAAAACATTCCGAGAAATTAAGTCGACAATTCGGGCTAATCAACAAAGTATCGTACTGGCCACTCTTACGAAACATACAAAAGAAAAATCAAGCAACAAGAAAAAAGCTTTTCTCTGAACTTCAATTCGCACTAATAGCTAACAGACATAAGGTCAATTTCAAACGAACAATTACTCGAAAATTAATACGAAATACGATGAACTGGGCAGAAAATAAATGCAAAACAATGAGCAAAAGGAGAGACCTTTCTCGAGATTCTTGACGTTCTTGGAGGAAAGAGTGATCCTGATCTTGTGGATCTGCTCCTGAGACTCCTCCAGTCCCGGCTTCGTTGGTTTCATCGCTGCATACGCCATTTTCTTCAACCTAACTCTTCGCTTTCCTGTATAATCAAAACAATAATCCAACGATTAATCACAGATTTTACACCTAAACTATAAAAAATGGGGACTAAAAATTACTCAATTTCACTAACTCCCGGTGGAAATAACTGAAGCAAATAAACAGTGAGAGATATAGAGAGAAAGCGAGAGAGAGAGAGAGCGGAGGGGGCGGACCTTGGTGGCTGCGGGGGTGAGGGAGGCGCTGCGGGGCTGCGGTACGTCTCTCTGAGCGATGGGAGGAAGGAGGCAGTGTTTGTGAGAGATTATAAAGGGGGCATTAGGGTTTTTGCCATGTCTGACAGGTGTGATGCCGGACGGGTCGGGTTGAAGATTTTTATGACGAAGGTTCAAATCATATGAGTTCGGCCCAAACTACCTTTCTTGGTTGGCCCAAAGACTTTCATACAGGTTGCCTAAAATAAATTGAGATGTCATTGTGTCAGTACTTTTAAGTTTGAAGAGTTTTCATACTTCAATTATTAACTAGCCACTCGGTTTTAAGAGAAACTTACCTACAAGCAATACTCAAAGTCAATCTTGAACTTATGTGTTTTTAACTTTTTCACATAACAGCGTAACTGATTTAAAATACACCGCACCAAATCCCTAACGCATTTAGATCTTGAGTTGAGCTCAAGTGGCTTTAGTTTTGTTACATTATTTTTAAATAAAAAACTTAAAGAATGTCACTAGTTTTTAACTGTTAGATCCTAGTCATTGTGTATTAAACCAAAGATCTAACGACCAAAACCCTGAGTATAGATTCCCTCGAAACATACAAAAAAATACCATGATTTATTATACTTTTCTCATCTTGGCGTTTTATTTGACTTGGGTTTCTTAGAAAACCTGTAAATCAAGCGCAAAAATGTACCAAAGGAATCCATGGTTAATTTTCCATAAAGATACCACAAACGCACACCATAGAATTCATAGAAAGGGATCATGGTACTTGTCACAAAATCCCTAGTCCTGTGATGTCACAGACTAACAGAGTTAGGACAATTTGTTTGCATATACAGCAAGATTCGATCGCATAACAAGAAAGTGACACGGGTTAAAGGCAGCACTTGAACGAGATGAAACTTGAAAGGAGAATGAATTTTAATGGCGGCCACTGTCGGTTTCATGCTCCATTTCTTCTGCATCCTCAAATCGTTGATCGTTGATCTGAAGCTGCAAAGGAGATGAAAATGTGATCAATACAAGGGGACCAATTCTGCCCCAGTATTAAATGGTTATTCAAAGGCTTACCTCAAGCACAGTACGAGCTAGGTCATGATCCCCGTTAGATTGACCAATTGAGTTTGAAGGATTTTGAGGAACAGGCCACTCAGAATCGTCCTCTGAAAATACGCCACATTCAAAACGAAGACATCATACATAACAGAATATTTCGTGTTAGACATATTGACACATGACTTGATATAAATGTTCCATGGTGCATTACATACCAACTGCCTCATCTTCCAACTGATCGGCGCTAAAAATCCAATTATGCTCTTCTTCCCCTTCTAAAGAAAGATCAAAAGCATAATATTAGGGTGCAATGAAGCAAACATAACGAATATCATTCAAAAAAAAAACAAAATATGTAAAAGAAAAATAACCGGGGAATTGAAAAACTGTACAAACCTTGAATTGGTTCTGGATTAAGCTCAGCACACTCACAAAATACCTCAAACAGAGAATCCACTGCCACATGAAAAACAAGAAGCTAGTACCCTTCACCAGAGAAATTCTAACAAAATCAAGACAGTAGAGAGAGAGATACACTGGTTAGGATCTGAAGGAACGAGCCTCATCTCTGTGACCTTGGATAAATCTAAGTCACCATTGCGTTCTGAATCCAAACCATCAGACTCATCCTCGTCATCCTCAGTTTCAATCTATAATGTTCAAAACTTTAATCAGAAAACCAATGCACAAAAGAAACTGTGAAATTACATATTGAAGTTAACGATCGGTCAGGAGACACAGGGCCGATGTATGGTAAAGACACACAACCATGAATACAAAACCAAGCAAGCAAGTGATTCTTGTGTAATATATATCTCATTCGCACAATGTGTAAAGAATGTTCTTAAAGATTGCAGAATTGATCTCAGAACATCATTCTAAACTTATTCAGAGTTCATATAGAACAAGCAAAAAGAATTGATAAAGAAATCGAAAGAACAAATAAAGAGGTTAGTGTTCAGAGAACAAGATAAATTTCCCTTGCAAACTGAAGTTTCACATCACGCAATTAGGACAAAGTACACTTCAGAAAAGAAAAAAAAGTCCATATTGCTGCTGGAGTGCATTGCTAAATATGAAAACATGTACCTGAGTGTATAAACAAGGAGAGGTGTAGGCCTCTGGGTCTCTGGATACAGCGTGCAGTGATATAGACAAGAAGTCCAAAGCATAACCTTTCGCCTTGTCAGTGTCACTCAACCAAATCACTTGCCTAAAAAATCCCAACTGACTGTTCAAATGGATTCTAATTTGTCTAGGGGGGCGGGGTGGGGGAATTTGACCATCCCTTTCAAATGGATTCTAATCCCGGCTAACAGTTTAAATTAATGAGAGAGAAAATGACATACTTGGTGGAGATATATAGAGTGCCAGGGAACTCAGGGGGCTGATTGCCGAGGACAATAGAAACACCAGGCCGAACATGCATCAGCTCCTCACCATTCACCGCATCCAAAACTGGTTCATCAACACCGTTTCTTTCAACTCGAGCAGTGAATTCTTTAATCCCTGCTACCATTTTGCTTGCTCACTCGGGTTTCTTCCTTTGCATTTTCAAAACAAAAAATGATGTTGATAGACAGCACATGATCACTAAATTACTCCAATAAATTGTAATATACATACATACATACACACACATTGTATATATATACATACATACTTACGAGCCACTAATTCATCACAAAGAAGCAATTAATTAACTTAAACAAACTAATCTGCAACCCATATGAGTAGTTGAAGTTAACCAATAAAATGGGAGCGGTCAAGCAAAGTAAAAAGGGGCAATTTGATTCTTATATTTTCCCACCAATTTTCTCAGAAACCAAACAGTAAAACTAACGGGAAAACTATCGAACCCCCAAGGATTGAATTTTGTTCAAAATTATCGGAACAATGAACAATGAATGAACAGTTAACGAACCGATTTACAGAAATATAAAGCAAGATGAATTCAAACAAAAAAAATAAAAAATGGGTGAGGATGATTTGGTACCTGGGAAGAGACACAGACTTCGGTTTCTTTGATTTTCTAGGGTTTTACTAATTTTTTTCTTTCAGGGTTTAAAGCGCCAATTTTTTTTTCTCAACCCAAAAAACCGCCACTTTTTCCACCGGTGCGGGCTTCTGGGTTCAAGCTGGAGTATTGGACCGTTGGAAGCTGGCTCGGGCTAGTATTTATCGCGGCCCAACCCTTTTATTGTTTCTGTTTTGTTTGATAATTCGGTCCTTTAATTTTTTTTTTAATACATCGACATTTTACACTAAAAAAATAAGGAGTTCGGCTAAGCCACACAATGGAAAACCTAATTTGTTATCGAATTCTCCATCCACAAGATTTGAACCTAAGACGTCTCACTTCCAAGCGAAGAAAAATATCACCAGATCGTAGTACTGAGTGACAATTCGGTCCTTTTATTAACTATATTTTATTTTGAACTAATATAAATTAGCATAAGTGAATTTGAAAAGAAAGAAAAAAAACACGACCATCATACAATGTGTTAGATGTTGTCCAATTTAATACGTTCAGTTTCAACATTTTTAAATTCACTAAACATCGATAAAAAATATTAACTCAATTTAATTGAAATAGTCAAGTTCAGGTTGAACTACGACGGGCTTCATTGCTTGGGTGATGTTTGTGTGGTAATAGGAAAGCTCATTATCTTCCTGGCATCCAACATGGAGGCTGGAGAGCACCGCTGGGGAAGATGCGCCAAATCAACAAAGCCTAAGGTATTGATACCTTGTTGGATAAAAAGAAGTCCAAAAAGTAAATTTAAAAGCCAGTTGCGGCGATTAAAAAGCCACCCACGAATCGAAACCATAAATTTGTTGTTGTAAAATTGTATGAAATTGTCATTCGGGTGTCTCAATTTTCAAGTTTTCATAGTTTGGGAAAATTGTATCATTTGTTGTGAGTTGAAACACATTTACAGAGATAATAATTATATGGTAGATCAGTTGACAAACTGGAGTTTTAATATGAATATTGGCGTCCATGTGTTTGATAAGCCTCCTGCTTAGATTGGATCATCGCTCATGGATGATGAAGTCTCTCGAACTTATTTGGTTTCTTATTGTAAGTTAGCTTTGGATTGCATTCCTCATTTCTTTACAAAAAAAACAATGAATTATTATTATTATATCATCTGCCATCATCTAGCTTGTCTTACATAATTACAGAGAGACAAGAAATTGTGCTCAAAACTCATCATTTTTGTCTCTTTTTAAACAAATGAATGAATCTGTATGCACGCATCTAAAAGGTGACGACGCCATTTCAATGGAAAATTAATTGCAAGACAGAAGTGGAATGAAAACTTCTTAGTTTAGTACCTTGACATAACTTTTTCTAAATAAATTTGAAAACTTTCCAATCTAATTTACCATCATCTCTATGATGGCATGAATTTGAAGCATATTATATTAGATTTAGAATAATAAAAGAAATATTTTTTGTTTTAATCTCTTGGTCGAGAATACGATGAATGTGAAATTTTTTATGGTAAATTATGCATAAACCGTCTTTATTCAAATGGATTCTTATTTTTTGGTAAAAACGAGAACTAGTTGTGGGGCTTATTATATATCAAACTTCAATAATCCAAACATTTTTTTTTTTTAATTCTTCATTCATAGATTGAACTCCGCCGTGTAAGTTTATCTTACATTGCCGGTCCCAAGCCCGGATAAAGGAGAAGGGGGAGGGCGTCAGGTAGTCGACAGCCGGCACTCCATGATTACGTCGAATCCTTATGAAAATGAATCCAGAACGAAATCGCGCTAAAGCTAGGGCGTCACCCGTAAGTGGCGCGCTGTGTGGCCCGAGCACAGTGATAAGTGAGCAAGGGTCGCTGTATCTCCATCGGCACCCGGATGCAGTGTTAAATGAGCAATGGGGCTATAGAAACTTCTTTTCGAACGACTCCACACACAAAAGAAGTACTTTGATCCTATTAGACGGGGAAGGGTGAAGAAGCTAGGACAGAAGGGTAGAGTTCAAGAGAGCAAAATGCGTTTAGGAACGTGGAATATAGGAACCTTGACGGGAAAATCTATGGAAGTAGTAGAAGTTATGGTGAGGAGAAGGATAAATATTATGTGCCTACAAGAAACTAAGTGGGTTGGTCGTAAGGCAAAGGATCTAGAAAACTCAGGGTTTAAACTATGGTATTCGGGCACAAATAGAACGAGAAACGGTGTTGGCATCATTGTGGACAAGACCTTGACACAAGATGTTGTAGATGTCAAGAGGGTAGGAGATAGAATCATGGCAATCAAGATTGTAATAGGACAAGAACTTATCAATGTGATTAGTGCGTACGCACCTCAAGTAGGGTTGGATACGAGTTCGAAGGAGAAATTTTGGGATGACCTTGGAGACTTGGTGCAAGGAATTGCTCAGACGGAGAAGTTATTTATAGGAGGAGATTTAAATGGACACGTGGGCAGGGAGACAGGCAACTATGGAGGTTTTCATGGTGGCCATGGTTTTGGGGAGAGAAACGAGGATGGGGAAGCTATCTTGGATTTTGCAATGGCATATGATCTCTTCTTAGCCAACACATTCTTTAAGAAGAGAGAAGAACATGTGATCACCTACAAGAGTGGGTCGTCAAAAACACAAATAGATTTTCTTCTAATGAGGAAAGGGGATCGTATAACTTGTAAGGATTGCAAAGTTATACCAGGAGAGAGCGTGGCTAATCAACATCGCTTGTTGGTGATGGATGTACATATCAAAAGAGTGAGAAAAAAAGAACAAGACTTGGAAGTGCCCAAGGACTAGATGGTGGAATCTAAAAGAAGAAAAATAAGCCATTTTCAAAGAGAAAGTAATCACCCAGTGTGTGTGGGATAGAGAGGGGGAAGCTAACCAAATGTGGGATTTCATGGCTAGTTGTATCCGAAAAGTAGCAAAAGAGGTATTATGAGAGTCCAAGAGCTTTGCCCCACACCAAAAGGAATCTTGGTGGTGGAATAAGGAGGTACAAACAAAGGTGAAGGCTAAGAAGGAATGCTGTAAAGCCTTATATAAGGATAAGACCGATGAAAATGGTAAAAGGTATAGAAAAGCGAAGCAAGAGGAGAAGAAAGCTGTGAGAGAAGCTAAGTTAGCGGCTTATGACGATATGTATAAGCGACTAGATACCAAAGAAGGAGAGTTGGATATCTATAAACTAGCTAGAGCAAGGGAAAAGAAGACAAGGGACCTAAATCAAGTGAGGTGCATCAAGGATGAGGATGGAAAGGTTCTTGCTACAGAGAACGCGGTTAAAGACAGATGGAAATGTTATTTTCATAATCTTTTCAATGAAGGACATGAAAGGAGTGCTTCTTTAGGGGAGTTGAGTAACTCAGAAGAGTGTAGAAACTACTCTTTTTATCGTAGAATCCGGAAGGAAGAAGTGGTTGTAGATTTGAAGAAGATGAAGCATAGAAAAGCAGTAGGCCCAGACGATATACCAATCGAAGTGTGGAAAGTTTTGGGAGAGACAGGTATAACATGGCTCACTGACCTTTTCAATAGGATTTTGAAAACGAAGAAGATGCCAAATGAGTGGCGAACGAGAACTTTGGTGCCTATCTACAAGAATAAGGGCGATGTACAAAATTGCATGAACTATAGGGGTATTAAGCTAATGAGTCATACAATGAAGCTCTGGGAGTCATTGAGCATAGATTGAGGTAAGAGACACGGGTTTCGGACAACCAATTCGGGTTCATGCCAGGGCGCTCAACCATGGAGGCAATCTATCTCTTACGAAGATTGATGGAAAGATATAGAGATGGGAAAAAGGATTTACACATGGTCTTTATAGATTTGGAAAAAGCGTATGATAAGGTCCCAAGAGACATTCTTTGGAAGATTTTAGAGAAGAAAGGAGTACGAGTAGCATATATCCAAGCTATACAGGATATGTATGAAGGAGCAAAGACTTCCGTAAGAACTCATAAAGGACAAACCGAAAGCTTTCCCATAACTGTAGGATTACATCAAGGCTCATCCTTAAGTCCTTACCTTTTTGCGTTGGTAATGGATGAGTTAACAGGACATATTCAAGATGATATTCCTTGGTGTATGCTTTTCGCAGACGATATAGTGTTGATAGATGAAACTCAGGAAGGGGTAAATGCAAAGCTTAACCTTTGGAGAGAAGTGTTGGAATCTAAAGGTATTCGCCTAAGCCGATCAAAGACAGACTATATGGAGTGCAAGTTCAGTGCAAATGGAGGCCAAAACGAGTTAGGGGTGAGGATCGGAGATCAAGAAATACCAAAGAGCGACCGTTTTCGTTACCTAGGATCTATCTTGCAAAAGAACGGAGAATTAGATGAAGATCTCAACCATAGAATACAAGCTGGATGGATGAAGTGGAAGAGTGTATCCGGCGTGTTGTGTGATCGCCGTATGCCACTGAAGCTCAAGGGAAAATTTTATAGGACGGCAATAAGGCTAGCGATGCTGTATGGCACAAAATGTTGGGCGGTGAAGCATCAACACGTACACAAAATGGGTGTAGCGGAGATGAGGATGCTTCGTTGGATGTGTGGGCACACGAGAAAGGATAAGATTAGGAATGAGGATATCCGGGGTAAAGTAGGAGTAGCCGAAATTGAAGGAAAGATGAGAGAAAATCGGTTACGGTGGTTTGGACATGTGCAAAGAAGACCTACTGACGCTCTGATTAGAAGATGCGACTATGGGACAGAGGTTCAGGGCCGAAGGGGTAGAGGAAGACCTAGGAAAACTTTGGAAGAGACCCTAAGAAAAGACTTAGAGTACTTGGATCTAACAGAGGACATGACACAGGACAGAACACAATGGCGTTCTAAGATTCATATAGCCGATCCCACTCAGTGACTTGGATTTTCCAAGTCTCCAACCGAGAAGTTTTCCTCACTCGGGAAATTAAGGGAACACTACCTCAACCTACATGCTCCACTCACAAAGCTTCAACATACAAGCTTCAACAAAAGAAAATTCAAAGAACTTAGCGAAGAAAGCTTTGATGTATTTAACACAATACGTTGAAATGAAGGAAAGCTTATTTATTGATATCCCCGATAAGTTACAAATATGTACATATACTTGAGTCAAAATAAACAAACAAGAGGGAGCCTT